ATTTTAAGAATTTCTATTACATACAAGGAGTTCGGCTAGATGCTGGCCTAATCTTGCAACGTTAGAGACTATTCTATCTCATTTCTCACAACAGTGTGATTTAGACATCCTATGAACATTTTGCAGTCGGAAGAATCAAGATTCTGGGATGTCACTCAAAGCCACCCCATCTTTCCAGCAAGGGAAGAAGTAGGGGTGCTTGACTCCAGCTGCTTATCTGCAGATTCCAGTCAAATCCACTGAAACCACAGCACTGGAAGCTTCTACTGCATGTACTTGTGATGGGCAGAATAATGTTCGCCAAAGATGTCCCATTCTACTCCCCAGAAGCTATGAATATGTTACTTTACATGGTGAGGAGACTTTGCTACATTATTAAGTTAAGGATCTTGAGAGATGGGGAGATGATCCTGGATTATTTGGTGGGCCCAATGTCATCACAAAGCTCCCTATAAGAGAAGGAAGGAGGCTGGGCGCAGTGGCTCACACCCGTAATCCCAGCACTTTGGGAGGCTGAGACAGGTGGATCACAAGCTCAGGAGTTCGAGACCAGCCTGGCCAACATGGTGAAACCCTGTCTCTACTAAAGATACAAAAAAATTAGCTGGGCGTGGTGGTGGGCACCTGTAATCCCAGCTGCTCAGGGGGCTGAGGCAGGAGAATCACCTGAACCTGGGAGGTGGAGATTGCAGTGAGCCGAGATCGCGCCACTGCACTCCAGCCTGGGTGACAGAGCAAGACTCTGCCTCAAAAAAAAAAAAAAAAAAGAGAGAGAAGGAAGGAGGCAGGAGAGGCAGAGCCAGAGAAATAGACATGGGGACAAGCAGAGGTTGAAGTGATGCTGGGCTGTGAGATGCAGCCCCTCACAGGGAAAGGGACTCTGCCCTAGAGCCTCCAGAAGGAAGGCCCACTTGCTCTAGACTTCTGACCTCCAGAACCCTAAGACAATTAATTTGTGTTGTTTTAAGCTACTTAAATATGTAGGAATTTGCTATAACAGCAATAGGAAATGAATACAACACTGTTTCCTCTATTTAAGGATTTCAAGTTGTACCGTAGCGGCATAAGAAATACCAGTTGGGTTTAATAATCTGTGTTCTCCTGTTCCCAGAATTTAAAAAAAAAAAAAATACAGACTAACCAGGAATGCCACATTAGCACTCTCACAAAAACAGCTGATCTCAAATCAGATAACATTTTAATTATTAACCATGATCCCATGTTTCAATTAGGTAAGCCTTCTTTCACGCATGAGCTTACTTCCACCTTCAAGCACAGGAATAGCTTGCACTCCAAGTAAATTGATCTATTTTTAAAAAACAGGAGTCCTGCTTAAAAAAAAAAACAAATACCAAAACTTATTTCCTATTCCATATTAAAATCAACAGCACTGAGCCTGGTGGCGTGTGCCTGTAATCCCAGCTACTTGGGACACAGGTGGAAGGACTGCTTGAACCTTGGAGATTGGAGACCCAACAGGGCAACGTAGTAATCCGTCTCTAAAATAAATGGGGCCTAGCAAGCGTGCTAACATGGAGCGCTCCTTATGCATGGGGCCTGGGCTGAGGAGGGTGTGCCTAGGCACGCCCTGGGCTGGCTCCACTTTGTGCCGGGAGTCTACTCAGGGAGCGAGATCCTGGCATCCCTAGGCCTTGGCTGCTATGTGGGGATCCCCAGGGTGTGCCCCCCTTCCACCAGCCAAGTGGCCCGGTCAGGGTGAGGGCTGACCGGGCCACTTGGTTGGTCCGCAGCATCCTAGTGTGCACCGGCTGGCCCTGTGGCCGGGCAAGGCAGAGAGGCACTGAGGGCATCTGCCCTGCACACCTGGTACTGATGGATCAGCACGGCTGGGTCATGGGGCAGTGCTGCCAAGGGCACCGCTGTGGGGTGGGAACGAGGTCCTGGGGTGGGGGCAATGGTACAGGAATAGCCTTGGTTTTCCCGTGGTCTGGTTAATGCAGCCGTCCATCTGGCAAATTAAGGCCCCTGGGCTTGCCCAAGAATTGAAATTGGGCAAAGATCAGACATCTTTTTTGAGAAGTGTCTTCAGCAATGCTCACAGCCTTTCATGACCTAAGATAGGGACAGTGCTGGACAGATGCTTCTCAACTCTGGATTTCTGCAGACTGCACTGGAGGAAGTCATCATGTTGCACAGCCTTGTGATGACACTGGGGACAGGTGAATAATCATGAAACCACAGAGGCTTCAAAAAGAAAGTTTTGGAGAGCAAGATATTTGTGTTCCCATTGCAGATGCGGCAAGGATAATAAAAAATGTCCATCAGAGGGACAGGCTGCACAAGACGCCAAATGTATTTAAGAGCATGTGGGTGCATCAGTTTCACGGCACCTGAAGCAAGTGAAATGCCAGGGAGAGTGAGGAGACAGTGTGTGGGGAGGATGCTCTCTTTGCCCTGTCTACCTGAGGCTTTGAGAGTTCTGTGGAGTGCTGGGGCGGTACCTTCAGGCATTTAGAGAGGCTAGGAGACAAGGGAACAGGTCTCAGCCCACCACAGACACAGAGGGACCCAGGGAAGCTGTGGAAGAGGCACTTGCTGAGCTGTTACTAGTGGCTTCAGGACCGCAGAAAGGTAGCAGCAAAACGTTATGGTTAATGCAGCGGCACATTGGCAGACTTCTCATGTCCAGCAAGCTCAGTTTTCATGATCTGAAGACATGGTGGAATGGGGCACAGAGGGAAGAGAAAGGGGCTAGAACAGACACGCTAGAAGGAAATGATTGGTGACAGGTGGTCTCTGCCTATTTCAATAGCTGTCATGTGGCTGCCTGGTACTTGGCCGGTTGAGGTGTTAATTCTAAGAATCTTTTTCATGAGTGGTTTTAAAGAAATATCTGGATTTTAAAGGTATTAAGACATTTTGGTGGGGTATGAGAAAAAAGTGGGACTTCAAATTTTGTGGTTGGCTGATGCCAGTTATGCTAAGAAGAAAAGTGACTTTAAGGTTTTATCACACAAAGACATTCTCGCAATGTTGTTGGCTATCTGGAACTGTTAATAATTGTAACATTATACTGCATTTAAATGAACAGACTTTTTACAGATGATATATGTTGAAAAATTAGTTTACCCCTAAAAAGGGACAGGAATAATCCTGTAGAGAAATTAAAAACTGCCTAAATTCAATCTCTTAACTAAGGTTTTGAGTAAATATAGTTTCATGGAGTCTCATCCCAATATATTTCTCAAAGTCTTTTTATTTATTCATTCAAAAACAAAATTAACTTATGCCATCTATATCCCCTGAAGGCCTCTTATGTACTTAATAATGGCTTGGTCCTGGGTTTGCAAAGACCCAACACACAGCTGTTTTTTTCTGGCTGGTTCCTGCTGATGGACGCCCCCTGCCCTGTGGCATAATCTCCAGAGTATCTACCCTGATAACCTATGGAACAAGAACTGGACCTAGGCAAATATTATCTAGATTTCAGTCCCGATGGTGTCATTTCCTTTCTAGACATGTGACTGGGTGAATTACTTTACATCTCTGAGCCTCAATTTTGTCATCTATAAAACAGAGATAAGAGCTGGCTCATAGAGTTGATAGGATTAGCAAACTGAGGAGTATAAGAGGCCTTTATTACTCTTTATTAAAGGGTCAAACAAAAGTGGGATCATTGTTAACAAGCTGGTTTTCCATGAGTTGAAGCTCCTGTCCTCACTGGCCATAGTCCTGTGCGTAAACACAGCTCCAGGTGCTGGGAATGGCTGCCTGAGCTTCCTGAAGATGATCAGAAACAGGTCAGAAAAATAATTTATCTCCAAGATAAACTTTATTTCAAACTTTTAGCTGCATGCTAAGAACATGCTTAACTACTGGAGAAAAAAATAATTTTCCAAAATTTTGTAGAAAACAAGGCCGGGTGCGGTGGCTCACACCTGTAATCCCAGCACTTTGGGAGGCTGAGGCGGGTGGATCACGAGGTCAGGAGATTGAGACCATCCTGGCCAACATGGTGAAACCCCATCTCTACTAAAATACAAAAAACTGTCCTGACACGGTGGCATGTGCCTGTAGTCCCAGCTACTCAGGAGGCTGAGGCAGGGGAATCGCTTGAACCTGGGAGGTGGAGGTTGCAGTGAGCCTAGATCGCGCCACTGCATTCCAGTCTGGTGAAAGAGAGAGACTCTGTCTCAAAAAAAAAAAAAGAGAACAAGTTAGCAGGGAATGTGCTTTATGTGCTTTATCAGGAATTAGTTACAAAGACCTTTAATCTTGGCTGAAGATTAATAATGATAACTACGTTATTAAGCTAGAAACCTGTTGGTTAAAACTACTGTATTTTGAAAGAGTTATGAAAGGGTCTGATTGCCCAGGTTGTTTAGCTGGGGCCAGGCAGGTATGAGACAGCCTGTCAGTCACTGCTGTCACTGTCCGGGGGACATGATGGAGCACCCAGACACTAGGCTTTCCATGCATTGTTAGATTGCTAAATCCTTATGACAGCCCTCCAACATATTTTCCCCTTTTTTAGAGCCACTTGGAGAAATTTAGTACCGTGCCCAAGATGACACAGCCTTCACAGTTCTTCTATCTGACTTTGAAACTCAATTCTGAACCCTCAGAGGCCAGAGAAGATGCATCTGCAAAGGACAATCACACTGACTCAAGGAGCCTGAAAAGCAAATTTCCTGATTTCTGTTTGGGCTGGTCATCTGCACACCTTTCTTACGGGCATGGCCACATAGGAGATCAAATGATAGATCAGAAAGCTGAATTCTGTGCAAAGCATTAGATTCATTCAAAGGGTGTTTCCACTCAGCAATGGATTTGTGTTGCATATGCTTCCCTATTCCAGGAACAGCCCTGCATGGAGATGTGGGGCCTGCCTAGAATCAATGCCTCCTGCCTTTCCCACTGCCATGTCCTCCCCTCCAATGCAGATCCCACTATTTTATTAACTTTAAAACATCCATGTAACATGCCATATTCCAGTCCTCAAGATCAACTATGAGTGAGGATTTCTTAAGCAATATCTTAGCTTTGTGCAGTGGCAGTATCATAGCCAATAAAGTTTATCCGAGGCGCAATTATTGCTAATTGAAAACTTAAGCAGTATCTTAGGATGGGTGATGTTCTTATCAGTTAAAAAACATTCTATTGATTTCTATCTGAGATGGTGGTATCAGCCTGCAAAAAATGACAAACACTACAAACTAATGTTTTAGACACATTCGGATGAAGCTTTACCATCCACTTATAAGAATCAACTCAGAGATGATATATACCAAAGTCTATAAAACTATTTTACCAATTAACAGCCGCTAAAGAAAAACTTAGTAACTCTGATTGTGTAATTAAGCGTAGGTTTGATACATTTTCTAACTTAATGGTGTTTCACTTTCTGGGCAACGGCCCTTTGTTCTCCCCTTTTTAAAAAATGAATTCACTACATCTGATTTCTTACCTTTAACCACAAAGGAAAAACTGGTCACACTCATGGTTCCACTCTAACTGAATGCAGCTCACCACTGCTACACAACAGGATACAGATGCCTAGGCTTCAAGAACAAAGCTGGATGATGGGTCTGCTCTTACAGCCTTTGCTGTCCTGTCTTCCCAGCTTTCTTTGCAGGAAGTGAGGAGCAGGAAGGGATATTCCCTGCTAGTTGGTGCCTTTCTGAGTCCATCCACATGGGATTTCATACAACTTTTACAGAAAATTAAGAACATGCTAAACACGTCACTGATCCTGAATAATGACACCCTTTGCCATATAGGTTCCTCTCTGAAAACTGTAACCACAGATGTCATTTTCTGAACATCCATGTGGTCTGAAAGCCTCAGTCTAATCTCTGAATACCTACTGAGCTGAGATGGGAGCTGATAGCTCCGCCCTGCCAAACACTGCAGTTTTGAAAGTGAGACACCTGCTCGGTGCTGAGGGGAGAAAGGACCTGCTTGAGGTCCAAGAACTTCTTGGGAGCCACCCCATTCATCCTCCCAAACAGTTCCCTGTCATCTCTTGTATCAAGTCTGAGGCTATAGGAGCTGCAAAGCCCCCTCATTTGCCTGCATACTCTCTGAGCACCTATAACAACGCCTGGAACATTGAAGCAGCTCAGTAAACGGGGAATGGACAAAGAAGAGAGAATCCAGAGGCACTCAAGTCAAAATCTAGAAGTCAAGGCAGAAGATGGATTAGGACTGTGATACATGTACAAGTAAAAAGCTATGGGGGTTCAGAAAAGACTTGCCTATGGGGTAGCTAAGTGCCCAAGCTCTGGAGTCAAGCAGATCTAGGCTTTTTCATTCAGGCAGTCAACAAAAATCCATTGAGGGCCTTCCTGGTGCAGGCAATCGGTAGGTGCAGGGGATAGATAGGCTGAGCAAGACAAAATAGGCCCTGTTCACACAAGGGCAAGAAAACAAGTAAACACCTTTAATTTCAACTAGTGACAAAAGACACTAAAGAAAAAGCCCAGAATTTGTGTTACAAAGGGTGTATGTGGGGATGAGGGTGCAATTTTAGACAGCATAGCCAAGGAGAAGCATCTTTGAGAACGCAGCATTTATGACTGAGACTCAGATGGCCTTGTACTATGGATGGCCAGCTATGTGACCTTGGGCAGGTTACTCAACCTCTCTGAGCCCCAGTTTTCTCATCTGGATTGTAGAGCCAACACCCAATACCTTGCAGGGCTGGAAGAGCATAAAAATCTATGAACCTAAGCCAGCTGGCACGCACTTAGTAGACTGTTTATTGTCATTCTGGGCAGGTTAGAGGCCTGTGACAGATGTCAAAGCTCAGGAGAAAAGCGTTAAAATGCAAGGTCCCCGTGGGACCAACCACTATTCCAAGAATCGACTTCCTTGCACATCGCCTACCTACTGGATTGCGAGTTCTAGGGCAGGGACCAGGTGGCCTCCACTGCGACCTCCAGCACCAGCACTCAAAATCGAGAGCGCAGAGAGTCGGGCCAGACACTGGGCCACCTGGCCGCCGCTGTCCCCAAGGCAGCCATCTTGGTGTTCCCGTGGCGGGTTCGTCACGCAGCCGCCGGGGACAGCGCGGCCAGGCGCGCAAGGGAGGGGCGGAGGGCCCTTCCCAACGGGGACGAGGCCCAGGGATGCTGGGCCTCGGGATGCTGGAAGCGAGGAGCTGTCCGGCAGCAGGACGGCAGGGATCCCCCGGCGCAGGGACCCCTGGCCCGCGAAGGGGCTTCCGACCGCCGAGTCCAGGGTCTCGCGCAGCCGGACCGCGGGTGCACGGCCCGAGCCTGCGCGCCTGCGCCAGGCCCCCTTCGCGTTTCCCACCCACCCGGCTGGGCCTGATGCCCGAGACTCACCGCTTCTCCCGGGCCGCCGCCCGCGCCGCTCGCAGGTCCCGCTCAGCGCAGCCTCAGCCGCCACCGGAAGCGCTTCTCCCGCCACGGCGGCCCCGCGCGTCCCCGGAGCGCGTCCTCGCGCCGGGCTGTGAGCGCGCGCCCGGACCCAGGAGCCACGAGGCCCCGGGACCCGCCCTCCCGGTCCAGGCCCAGCCCCACGCCCGCGCCTCGGCTTCTGGGTTCGCGACCGCGCTCTGGCTCCACCAGGAACTCCAAGCCCAACCTCATGGTGGCCTGGGGCTCTGCGCGGGCCGAGGCCGCTGTTTTCCATTCGGGTTTCTCTTAAGGGACTGCTCCTTTATCATTTATTCATTCCCAGGGCCTGGCGTAGCCAGCATCCATGCATGCACTCAGTATTTACTCAATTAAAGTGTGGAGCTTGGCAAGACTGGTGCTACAAGGTGATTTTAGGACTTTAGTGCCACGATCTGATTTATGTCTTTAAAAAAATCACTCGGCTCCTTTATGGAGAACAGGCTGTGTGGAAGGCGACGTGCAGGCAGAGAGGCTGAGAGACTGCTTAGCGAGCAGCTGTGGTTATCCGGGAAAGGAATCGTGGTGTTTTGGACCAGGTTGATAACCTGGGAATATTTAGAGGGCAAATGAAATCTAATAAATGATGAATTACATAATAAATTACATAGAAATATTTCTTTTTTTTTTTTTTTTTTTTTTTTT